GGCGGCGGCAGCGGCAGTGGGGGTGGCGGCGGCGGTGGTGCTGGTCGGGGTGGAGCCGCGCAGCGTGGAGGCTTTGGCGGTAGCCAGCGACAGCAGCAGCCGCGTTCCCGTGAGGCCCTGTCGCCCCAGCAGCTTTGTGAGCCTGAGTCTCGTCCTGCGTCGCCTGTTCGCACTGTTCGCACTGGTCGTCGTGTTCCGCATCAGCGTCCTCCCCCTGTCCCAAGCACGCACCAGATTGCACTTCGTCCTTCCACTGCTCCACAGCGTATCCCTCTGCCGTCTCCTCCTGCGTCCTCTCTTCCTGACGTCCGTGACCCGCCGTCAGACCGTGCTCGTGCTGCCAGTCCTACTGTCACACGTCTTCTGGCTACTGCTGTCACTGACCCTTCGTTTGAGTCCACTGCTGCGTCTGCCCTAGTTGCTGAGCTTGTTGACTTTGCTGCCGCCTGTCGTCTAGACTACGCCGCTAGTCTTGTTGCTGAGTCTGAGTCTGCCTGTCCTCCGTCCGTCGGGGGTGAGTGTGCTCTTGGCACGGACGTCCTTGAGGACAGGAAGGAGGACTTTGAGTGTTTTGCAGCTGCTGTACCTCATCTCGTGTCCATGCTGATTGCACCTGAGGGAGACCCGGATGCACCAGACATCCCGACCCCGCGCTCTTACGCAGAGGCGATAGAGGGTCCCTACTCCTCTCAGTGGCAGACAGCCATGGACGCAGAGATGGCATCCTGGAAGTCCACAGGCACTTACGTTGACGAGGTTCCCCCACCTGGGGCGAACATCGTCAGTGGCATGTGGATTTTCAAGGTGAAGCGGCCGCCGGGTTCTCCGCCTGTCTTCAAGGCGCGTTACGTTGCACGTGGCTTCAGTCAGCGACAGGGAGTTGACTTCTTCCAGACCTTCTCCCCGACCCCGAAGATGACCACTCTTCGGGTTCTGCTGCACGTCGCCGCTCAGCGTGACTACGAGCTTCACTCTCTTGACTTCAGCACTGCTTTCCTACAGGGCAGCCTGCACGAGGAGATCTGGCTGCGCCGCCCACCGGGCTTCACTGGGTCGTTTCCTGCTGGTACCCAATGGAGCCTTCGGCAGCCAGTCTACGGTCTCCGCCAGGCGCCTCGTGAGTGGCACGACACACTGAGGACGACTCTTGTGGCTCTTGGGTTTGCTCCTTCTACTGCTGACCCGTCGCTGTTTCTACGCACCGACACTTCTCTGCCGCCGTTCTACATCCTCGTGTACGTCGACGACTTGGTCTTTGCCACTGCTGACACTGAGGGACTTGCCCACGTGAAGTCGGAGCTGCAGAAGAGACACACGTGCACAAACCTGGGTGAGCTGCGCAGCTATCTTGGCTTGCAGATCACCCGGGACAAAGCACAGCGCACCATTACCTTGACTCGGTCACACATGGTGCAGCAGGTCCTTCAGCGCTTCGGCTTCGAGTACTCCTCGCCACAGGCCACTCCTCTGCCTACCGGACACTCGCTCTCAGCTCTGCCTTCGGATGAGTCCGTAGAGCCGAGTGGCCCGTATCCAAATCTTGTGGGCTGCCTCATTTACCTAATGACCTGCACTCGACCTGACCTTGCTTACCCTCTTAGCATCCTGGCTCGCTACGTTGCGCCCGGGAGACACCGACCAGAGCACTGGAAGGCCGCTAAGAGGGTGATGCGCTACTTGTGCAGTACGTCGAGCATGGGGCTCGTGCTTGGAGGATGGGCTTGAGTTGTCCTCACTGGTCACGCAGACGCTTCTTGGGTTGACGACTTGGCTACGCAGCGGTCGTCACAGGGTTACACCTTCAGCCTTGGCTCCGGCTCTGTTTCGTGGCGGTCTACCCGCTCGTCTTCTGTTCTCAGCTCCAGTTGTGAGGCTGAGATCTACGTAGGGGCCATGGCTGCACAGGAGTTACGCTGGCTCACCTACCTGCTGACCGACTTGGGCGAGCCGCCTCGTTCTCCTCCAGTTCTGTACGTCGACAACAAGGCCATGATTGCCTTGTGTCAGGAGCACAGACTGGAGCACAGAACGAAGCACATCGCTCTGCGCTTCTTCCTTGCTCGAGAGTTGCAGCAGCGTGGTCAGCTTCGTCTTGTTTACGTGGCTTCTCAGGCCAACACTGCTGATATCTTCACCAAGGCACTTCAGCCTTGTGATCATCAGCGTTTCTGTACTGTTCTAGGCCTTGTGCCTACTTGGCCTCACTTGCTCACTTCTTGACTTTGCTTGTACTGTGATCTATATACATATACCTGCATGCTTACACTTGCTAGGTTGTGATCACTGTACTGCTTGTTCTCCTTTATATAACTCTGCATGTGGACAGGCCTTGTGGCCATTTGCTTGTGCTCAGACTGCGTGGTGACGTTGTGATCCACCCTGAGCTTGACCTTGCTTCGTTCTCTTGCTTGTCCCCCACTTTGCTTATGGGGGTGTGTCAAAACTATGCATTTATATGCTCTAGGCTGTAGTGGGGCACTCCTTATGGGGTACAGCCCAATTAGGTTTTGCTATACAAACCTTGTACTACTGTCATTCTAGTCATCTTTCATTCCTACTTTCTGACAGTATGCCAACTAAAACTGTAGCTTTGTGCCGTACTGTGCCCACGTCTCATTCCAAAACTTCAAAGTGAACTTCGAGTCCCTGTTGCTGATGATTGCCGAGGGGATTCCGTGCAGTCGCACGACGGTTGAGATGAAGAGGCGCGCAGATTCTTCGGCTGTGATTTTTGTACGACATGGTGCGAAGTGCGCCATTTTTGTGAGGCGATCGACGACGACAAGTACATTGTCGTTGTCGGACGGCCCAGCTAGAAGCCCCATGACGAAATCCATCGTCACATGTTGCCACGGTCGCTCGGTGGCTCCAGGGATTGCAGCAATCCAGCTGGCCGTTGACGCGTCGATTACAAGGCTTGGCACACCCTGCATGAGGACACATATTGCTTCACGTTGTTAGAAGAGTCATGCCAGTAATATTGACGGTGCAACAGCTTCTGGGTTTTATCGACCCCGAAATGTCAGGAGAGATTGGAATCGTGCACCTCCTGGATAAGGAGTTCGCGCAGCAGCCGGTAAGCAGGAACCCAAATCCGGTCAGTTCCGGTCTTTAGGTAATAATTCCGCTTCTGCGCCGTCGCCTGCTCGTGAAGAACGGGTCAGTTGTGTAGCTATGGGTGAATAGTCCCGTAAGTAGCGGGTACGAATGGGTGATGAGTACTGCAGCGGATTGAACTGTCGGGCGGGTAAGGGCGTCGGCGATGTTATTCGCCCCTTTCTTGTACGTGATGCAGTAGGTGAAGTGGATCTCCATGTAATCCAACCACCGAATTTGTCGCGGGTTGAGGTTGGGCTGAGCTCGCAGGTACTGTAGGGACTTGTGGTCCGTGCGAACAGTGCCGTCGGCGCCTGTCAGGTAGCAGCGCCACAGTTTGAACGCGTGTATTATGGCGAGCATCTCCTTGTCATGTATTGGGTAGTTGCGCTCGGCTGACTGCAGCTTGCGTGACTCATAGGCGATCGGCTGCAGTCTGTTCCCGAAATCCCGGAGAAGTACAACTCCGATGGCGAAATCCGAGGCGTCGGTGATGACTTCGAACGGCTTTGATGGGTCGGCGATGCGCAAAACCGGATGGGAAACGATAAAAATCTTCAACTCCTGAAAAGCAGCCTCAGCTTCCCCCCCACACAAAATCCCTGTCCTTGTGCAACAGGTCGGTTAGTGGGTCGGTTATCCCCGCCATGTTTGGGATAAACCGCCTGACGTAATTCACGAACCCCAGGAACTCTGAAGTTCCGTGATGTTAGTGAGGGACTTCCACTCCTGAATGGTCTTGATTTTCGCCGGTTCAATTTTAATGCCGTCGCGTGAGATGACGTGTCCCAAAAACTCCAACTCCTGCTTAAAGAACTCGCACTTAGAGCCCTTGGTGATGAGGCGGTTCTCCTGTAGCCGCTTAAACACCGCGTCGAGGTCGCGGAGGTGTTGTTCCTTTGTCCTTCTAAAAAACAGAATATCGTCCAAGTAGACAATAACACACTTGTCGAGGAATTCCCGGAAAACCCTGTTCATGGTCAATTGAAAAGTCGAAGACGCGTTTGTGAGGCCGAACGGCATCACCTGGAATTCGTAGCTTCTGTAGCGGGTGCAAAACGCGGTCTTGTAACAATCGCCAGCGAAGACCCGAATCTGATGGTAACCGCCACGCAAGTCAATTTTCGAGAAGTAGCGAGCGCCGCGAAGTTGATCGAGGAGGTCGTTGGTGCGTGGGATGGGATGGCGAGATTTGATTGTAACCCGGTTGAGCGCGTGATAGTCTATACACATGCGAAGTCCGCCATCTTTCTTTGGCGTGAAAAGGATCGGGGCTGCGAAAGGGAGATGTACGGGGTCGAATAAACCCCTTCTCCAACAGGCCATCAATTGTTAAAGAGAGTGCGCGGAATAACGAATAACGAGAGTGTGACTCAATGAACTGATAATACAATGAAGGCACGAGATTATATAGTGGCTACCCTAGCTAGGAGGGAACCTCGGGAAAGCGAAGTTGGGTGCAGGTTTGGCAATCGGAAAGCCGAAGGCGACGCGGGTCAGCCTCGGCATTGTGGATGTCGGCCGAACCTGCAAAGTCCAAAATGTCGGGGTTGTACCCGTAGTAGTCAACCCCGGTAAGGAATAAGGAAAATACCCTACAAGACTAGTCTTTGAAAATGTCTACCGTATCTTTCCACACCTGTTGAATATGTCTTTCCCACCGGTCTGCTCACTTCTCTTACTCCTGTCTCAAAACCACAGCTCTTAGGTTTGCATATTTGTACCCCATCCACTTTCTATTTCATCATTCCGTTGCTTCTACTTCTAAGATGGTATCATGAGTAGGTACGCTCCTAACCTAGTTGCTCCGTAGTTGCTCCGTCGCTCCGTAGTAAGCTCCCTTAAGTAGCGCGCGCCATCCAGCCAAGCGGCGCGCCCCACCCTGCGGAACATAACGCGCCCCTTCAGAACAGCACGCGCCACCTTGCAGAGCAGCGCGCGCCCCAGCAGAGTAACGCGCGCCCCTGCAGACCAGCGCGCGCCCCTGCGGAATAGCGCGCGCCACCCTGCAGAGCAGCGCGCGCCCCAGCAGAGTAGCGCCTGTCACCTAGCAGAGTAGCGCGCGCCCTAGCAGACCAGCACGCGCCCCTGCTGAATAGCGCGTGCCACCCTGCAGAGCAGCGCGCGCCCCAGCAGAGTAGCGCGCGCCCCTGCAGATCAGCGCGTGCCCCTGCAGAATAGCGCGCGCCACCCTGCAGAGCAGCGCGCGCCCCACCAGAGTAGCGCGCGCCACCTAACACAGAGACGCACGCCCCTGCAGAGGAGTGCGCGCCGCAGCAGAGCAGCTCGCGCCCCTGCAGTACAGCGCGCGCCCTAGCAGAGCAGCGCGCGCCTCGGCATAGCAGCGCACGCCCCTGCCCAGGAACGCGCGCCCCTGGCCCGACATGCGCGCCCCAGCCAGAAACGCGCCTCATGTACCCTCCTAGCCGCCCACACCTCCTCCAAACCGCCAACACCTCCTCCTAGCCGCCCACACCTCCTCCTAGCCGCCCACACCTCCTCCTAGCCGCCCACACCTCCTCCTACTGTAGCTGCCCACACCTCCTCCTAGCCGCCCACACCTCCTCCTAGCTGCCCACACCTCCTCCTAGCTGCCCACACCTCCTCCTAGCCGCCCACACCTCCTCCTAGCCGCCCACACCTCCTTCTAGCCGCCTACATCTCCTCCTAGCCGCCCACCACCTCCTCCTCGCCACCCACCACCGCCTAATCCTGCCCATTTTCGCCTGTTGCCCATAGCCGCCCTCAGTACGCCTTGCAGTCAGCTCCGCCCTTGCATCCACCAGCCGCAGGCCGCCAGTCACGCTCCTAGCCACCCGTAGCACTGCCTGTGACCCACCCATGCCCACCGTCTTGTGCTCGACTACGGCCACTGGCACCTCCTGCAGCAGCTGGCAGCCGCGGTTATTTTTCCTGACGAAGCCTCGGTTTTGTGGCCCGCCTGACGTTCCTAGCCCGCCTTCCCTACCTGACCGTTCCTAGACTACTGTTTCTTAGTCGGTAGTTACTTGTCTCTCTCCGGCCATTCCTCGCTGAAGCCGCTCATCGAGCCCGTAGTTTCTAGCCTGACGTTTCTCGCTCCGGCTGTGCCTCACTCCAGCCATTCCTCGTTCAATTCACTTCTAGCTCAATTTTCTCCGTGCTCAGGCCGTTCCTTGCCTAGTTTCACCTAGCGCTCCTAGCTGTTCTCGCTCCTTGCTCCCAGCTCAGTTTGCTCTGTGCTCCGGCCGTTCCTCGCCTAGTTTCACCTGGCGCTCCTAGCTGTTCTCGCTCCTCGCTCCCAACTCACTTTGCTCCGTGCTCCGGCCGTTCCTCGTCTAGTTTCACCTGGCGCTCTTAGCTGTTCTCGCTCCTCGCTCCCAGCTCTTTTTGCTCCATGCTCCAGCCATTCCTCGCCTAGTTTCCCCTGGCGCTCCTACCTGTTCTCGCTCCTTGCTCCAGCCGCTCCTCGAGCCCGTAGTTTCTAGCCTGACGTTTCTCGCTCTGGCCGTGCCTCACTCCAACCGTTCCTCGTTCCAGTCGCTTCTAGCTCAGTTTGCTCCGTGCTCCAGACTTTCCTCGCCTAGTTTCACCTGGCGCTCCTAACTGTTCTCGCTTCTCGCTCCCAGCTCAGATTTCTCCGTGCTCCGGCCGTTCCTCACCTAGTTTCACCTGGCGCTCCAAGCTGTTCTCACTCTTCGCTCCTAGCTCCAGTCCCTCTTAGCCTGCCGCTCCAGCACCCTGCTAGCCTTTACCATGACATCCATTAGAGTTCTCCAGCAGTAGGAACAGCAGCAACCGCGGTTTCAGCAGTGGGAACCTCAGTAGCAGTGGCGCCCTTAGCAGCAGTGGCACCCTTAGCAGCAGTGGCGCCCTCAGCAGCGGTGGCGTCCTCAGCAGCAGTGGCGCCCTCAGCAGCCGTGGGGGCCTGGTGGTTTGGGTAGCGTTGGCTGCAACAGCGGCCCAGCTAGCTGGGGGGCTCGTCGCGGTGGTCGCGACGTCGGCCCCTACCAGTACCGGATCATGACTGGCCCTGGTGTTGGCACTACCTGCTGGCGTCCTGACCACTCGGAACACCGCTGCTACTGTCGCCTCGACGACCTATACAGTGAGCGTTTTGGGTCTGAGTCGAGGCCACCGATCTGGCCCGGTCTGTCTCGTAGTGGTTACCCTGTGTTTGATATGTCTATGGATGCTGGTTATTCTGTTGCTATTGTAGGTACTTGTGCTTTTAGTGTAGGTGCTTGTGTAGTCACTAGTCCAGCCGTGACGATTGCTGTCGCGTTGCTCCCCTTCACGCTGGACTCGGGCGCGTCTCATGGCTTCTTCCGCTGCCACACCACTGTCACACCTCTTTCGGCTCCCTTCCTAGTTGCCCTAGCTGATCCTACTTCAGGACCAGCAGTCGCTCGCAGCTCGACCACTCTCCCTTGAACGGCTGTCCCTTCTGATTTCCTCACGGGTCTCTACATCCCCTCGTTCTCTCGGAACTTGGTGGGTGTTGGATACCTTCAGGTTCGTGGGATCACAGTTGCTTTTCGTGCGCACGGGAGGACGGCAATCTGTTCGGACGCTTCCACCGGGGCACTTCTTGCCACATTCACCAGGGAGCCCCACTCAGGTCTCTTCGTTCTGCACACTACGTTCCCCCAGGTAGCAGATTCCGGTCAGGTTACTGCCTCCCCCTAGGTTGTTGTGTCCACTCAGGTTGCTGTGTCCGGTCTGGTCGCTGCATCTTGCTCTTGTCGTTCACGCTCTCACCCGACAGTCTTGTAGCACCACCATCAAGGTCACCCGTCCCTCCCACGCCTCCATAGTATGGCCAGCCAGCGTCTCGTCTCAGGTCTCCCGCGGGTCTTTGAGTTGCTCCCCCATTTGCCTGCACCGCCGTGCACTCTTTGCGTCGAGGGTGGGCTGCGCGCCACTCGTCACTCCTCCTCCCTTCGTCCGGCCGCCGCTCCCTTCCAGACACTCCACTTGGACGTCTGGGGCCATGCCCCTCGTCTTGGGCCCGAGCAGGAGTGCTACTTCCTCATGGCCATTGACAACTTCTCCATGTACAGCACGGTGTTTCCTCTCGCGAAGAAGTTCGAGGTGACTTCTACGCTGATCCGGTGGCTTCTAGCCACTGAAGGCACTCGTGGTAGTCGTGTCTGTTGTCTCCACTCCGAGCGTGGGGGTGAGTTCCGCTCCGACGCACTTGCCAGGTTCTGCGGCGAGCAGGGCATCACACAGTCCTCGACGCTTCCGGAGTCCCCACAGCAGAATGGGGTTGCTGAGCGCCGCATTGGCTTGGTCATGCAGATCGCCCGCACCTCCATGATCCATGCCCGTGCACCCCATTTTATGAGGCCCTGCGCGGTTTCGCTACGCCGCCCACCAGTTGAACCTCTGGCCTCGTGTCTCACGACCAGGGGATTCACCGACTAGTCTTTGGACCGGGTCACCTGGTGTTGCGTCGTAGTTTCAAGTTTGGGCCTGCCTTGCGCTTGTCCGCAACACCGGTGCGGATATGCTCTCGTCTCGCGCCATGCCCTGTGTCTTCCTTGGTTTCCCGGTGGACTCTTCTGACTTATCGTTTTACCACCCGCCCCTCCACCGTTTTCTCGACTCCCGTGACGTCACGTTTGACGATTTCGTGTCCTACTACAGCCGGTACCCCTGTCGAGGTCTCCTAGTCCCCCCTCCTCTTCTTTTCCTCGCACCCTCTTCTCCTCCTGCTCCCGCTCCTCCGGTACCCCCGCACCCCCCCCCTGGTCCTGCCCCGTCAGGTGTGTCCCACGCTACCCCTCTATCATCGGTCGCTCGTCAGGCAGCGTCTCCCTCCCCGCAGTCCTCCTCAAAGTCCCCTCAGCAGCCTTCGGCACTTCCGCGACAGGTTACTGTGGACTCAGGTGGTGTTGGAACTGGAGGTGCTGCCGATGGAGGTAACCGGTCTGGGGTGCTTGTTCGAGGGGTGCTGGAGCTGGAGGTGCTGGCATTGGAGGTGCTAGTTTGGGGGTGCTGGAGCTGGAGGTGCTGGCACTGGAGGTGCTGGCACTGGAGGTGCTAGTTCTGGGGGTGCTGGTGCAGGAGGCGCTGGCACTGGAGGTGCTAACACTGAGGAGACTGGTGCTAGAGGCACGACTAGTGCGGCGCCCACTGCGCCTCCCCACCGCTACGACACGCGTCTCCAGGCTCTTCGCCGGGTTGAGCACGAGGAGCAGGAGCGGTTGGAGCAGGAGAGGCAAGAGCTGCGACATTTGGACCAGCAGGAGCAGCACCAGCACCAGCACCAGCAGTAGCTGCAGCAGCAGCAGCAGCGGTAGCAGCAGCAGCAGCGGTCACCGCAGCTGCCACTTTTGCAGCAGCTGTTCCCACCAGTGAGTGGCCTTCAGGCCCTTGGTCTTCCCTGTTATAGTCACAATAGGCTTGAATGTGCCTAAAACGAAAGATAGAGAGCACAGACGGATTTCTGCACAGCGGCTTCAAACGTTGATAGCGTTCTGCTCACAGCTGCAAATGACTTGATTCAAATTGGATCTGGAGCGTCTTCACGTCGTCTACAATTAGCAATTTAGATTGCACGATTTGATAAAGAATTGACGACACAGCGTCGGTTTGAACGAACGGTACTATGGCAGCCACTATAGTCTTAGAACACAAGATAGGAAGAGTTACGAGTTGGGAATGACTCCCAGCTCCTACAAACCCCAATAGCCGAGGTACAGTGATGTGGAACAGTGCCACACTGTCCCCAACCACAAAGGGTCTCGAAACTACCCTTCACTATGGCCTACACCAAGTGAAATGTTACACTACACAAAGTAATGTAACTATCTTCAATATCTTGAGGTGTACCCTTTTTTTGGCGAGCTTCGAAATCACTTGAGGCTTGACACCAAGGCTCGGGCTCTTCATCACAAACTCATCCTTGAGTTCTTGATGGGTCTGCTGCACACACCTGCGACACGCCGAACGTTCGACACAGGACAAAATAGAAACCGCGCACGACAAAATAGAAACCGCGCGCGAGACACAAACGACCGCGTAACACGCGTCTAGCGATAACTCGCTATTGACTCGACACACACACTCGACATCATGACTCAAACATTCACACACAATTATAAGCATGAAATATATATTATCCCATGCCCTCATACCATTCCATACACACACACATTCACGCACACGGACAACAAGCCGAGTGCAAACCGTAGGGTTGCACCAACAAACTCCCCCTCGGATTGTTGGCCTTAGGATATGTTGCTCTCTCAGTTCAAAGCCATCCCAGCCAGCTTGCAACACTTCCAATGCTGCTGCTCCACCAGCCTCTTGGTCATCATGTCAGCCGGCTGCCCCGTGGTCTTCACGTAGCGCAACTCAACTTCACCCGCGGTTACCATGCTCCTCGTCCAATGCCACTTCACCCTCATGTGCTTCGTGAGTCCATGCAACACAGGGTTCTTAGCAAGAGCAATGGCACCCTGGCTGTCACAGTACAGTGGGGTAGGTCCTTGCTGCTCCTCCCCCAATTCAGCCAACAAACGCCGCTGCCACACAATCTCCCGTACGGCACGGAAGAGTGCCATGTACTCGGACTCCACCGAGCTCAAAGCTTGGTCAACCTGCTTCTTGCTCTCCCAAGCAGTTGGGCCTCCACCAACACAGCATATGAAGCCTCCCACACTTGTCATGTCCTCTGGTTCTGATGCATATGAAGCATCCGAGTAGGCGGTGAGGAACAAACGCCCGGGTTCAACACCATCCGCGCCCTTTTGGCGCCTTTGTGCCGCCGCCGAGTATTGCAGCCCAACGGTCGGTGTTTGGCCAAGATACTTGGCCACCCTCATTCCAGCTGCTACCTGCTCCTCATTAGGGC